AGATGACTCAAGCTGTAAAGGGACCCGACTGCGGAAGCTGGACGGGACCAGCTGCCACTATCACCTATCAAGGCTGCCTCGGGCTGAAAATCGACTCCAAGGTAACCATTACGATGGCTGGAAAGTTGCGATTTTGACGTCATTGAATAATATTGAATGAAAGGGCATTACGAGGCGGTGCTAATCGCATTCCAAAGTGCGCCGAAGGGTCTAGTCCTCCAGTGACACCCGATGACGCCATCAAAGCCGCACCGCATCGTAATCACTACCTTTAACACTTTGGAGACCGCGCGTGTTTTACGTTCCGCGGCCGCGCGGGACTTCGGTGAAATTTTTAGGGATCTTATCTAGCAAATTCAAAAGAAGAACCCACTGTATAATGCAGAAGAAATCTTATCGGATAAAATGGAAAAGAAAATGAATGAAAAACCTAATAATTGTTTCCGAAATGCGAGCTGAAAGGTCCTATGCGGTCGGAGGACTGCAGCCCACATATGGGCTGCGTGGGCTCCAAGGTGTTAAAGAAGGTAGCCAAATGGGTAAGCCAAACCCGATCACATTTCGCTCTGACTGCCTCCAACAAAAAATCATGAACAGCCACTCTGAAGAACTGCTTACACCACAAAACACTAAATAATTCGTTAGTACTTTATTCTGCACAAAGCAGGACATATCGTGGTCATACACACAGCAGTCTCCTACAGCTACCTAGGTATTTCTATAATTCACAGTACTAACATTTGACAGCACAATAAATTACTGTACAGCTTTAAGGACAATTAACCTACGTAAGACAATCGTAATCCTATGGTACCTAGCGGAACACACAAATCACAAAAAAATGAATGCATCCATCCTACAGTAACCGCAGTAGTTGAGATCGGAAGAAAGAGACATTCAATTATAATAATTAACAAGTATATTTAATAAACGAATAAAGCTACACCGTTACTACCTGTCTTGTTAGCTCGCTATATATAAGTAAAGAGCAGAAGTTAACGGAAATAACTTAAATACGTATATACTCAACTGTAACCTCATTATGGAAAGGTATGGAGTGGAATCATGGACCGAAACTTAATGAGCGCCATAGGCGCCATGGATTAGTGATTTGGCCATGGTTACCCCAAGATGTGCAGGTGAGTCCACTACGTGGACACCAGCTGATTTGAGAGCTTCTATTTTGTCGCCTGCTAGACCTAAAATAGAAAAATGGGTTCCAGTGCTCACGGGGCTGATGACAACAGTCGCCGCTATTGCTATACCCTCAGTTGCCACATACCTTTTCCACCATCTATAATTGCTCCAGCATGACCCATTCGTCTTCCTGGAGGTGCCGTAACGCCGGCGATGAAGCTGACCACCGGTTTGCCTCTGCCAGCTTTAACCTGATCCTTGATGAATGCAGCTGCTTGCTCTTCTGCTGTTCCACCAATTTCTCCAATCAAAATCACTCCTAAGACAAAAATTCAACCTGAGCTACTCAACGAAGGGATGTCAAATGTTACAAACCTCTAGTACTTTTGTCAGCGAAAAACACTTCCAAACAATCAATAAAATTGGTGCCATTGAAGGGATCACCTCCTATACCAATGCACCAGGTCTGACCAAGGCCAGCCTGTGTTGTCTGATGTACAGCCTCATAAGTCAGAGTACCCGATCGAGACACTACACCTGTAAAATTATTCAGTATTCCCAAGAGCGACTTCAGAGCGACTATTATATCATCGTCATTTATCTACCAGGCTACAAAAGCAACGAACATTCTCATCATATTCTGCTTCAGAAAACCTGAAGCGCGTCGAGTGCAGACAACACACCGCAGTGACGTGCAGACCATACACCACAAGTGACGACGGCCTCCAAGTAAATCTGGTTAGTAGTGATTCATAGTGATAGCTGATTTTTGGTAAATGATAGTTGTAATTAGTGACAACTGATAGAATACAACTGCAACAGGCTAATCATTTCATTGGCAGATTTGTGGAGGCCGTCGTCACTTGTGGTGTATGGTCTGCACCCGACGCTCTTCCCGTTTTTTGAAAGGAAGTATACGTAGAGCCCTAGCGACCAGCTACAATTAGGTTGATCAGAAATTATCAGCTACTTTTTGCTAATGAGTATAAAATTTTGCTGATGGTTTTCAATAGTTCTAATGCCACTCGAGGGTCCACAATCATCCACGCATTCGTTATAAAACATATGCGTATTTCTTTTTAGAAGCTCACAACTGAGCAAGAAAAGATCATGACG